CCAACAACTGCTTATCATAACACAGAAAACATGAAAGCACTTGTCTTGAAATCCTGATTTATTATTAGATCTATACATTCAAATACCAGCTTATAATAGAAAACTAAATCAACTGAGTTCAGTAAGATTTGAGTTCTCTTGATTTCACATATGTCTAGCTCAGTCAAGCACAAAACTGCTAATGCCATCACATCTGGGAGGCTTTTATGCAGGGCTTGACACAATAAGAATCACAAGGCAGACAAAGGGAGATTTTTCTTTTGAAGGATGAAAATAAAAATAATGTTGCTAAGCTAGAGAATAATTTCTTTGAATTTAGGGGAATGCGAACAAGAAAAACAAACAACTGTTCAACATTGACGAGAGCTGTTAGTACCAAGAAATGGCACAGTCATGAGGCGGCAGGCTGGCAGTAGAGATCAAAATTCAATATTCATTGAATCAGGTAAGATGTTGGAGTTTTCTCTTTCCCTATTTGAAACCTATGAGAAACCTATGTACTACAAAGGATTTGTAGGCATAATACAAGGTGACCAGTTTCTTTTCCTCCACAACCATCTCTAGGTTGGCCTCTTAGAAGAAATAACCAGCTTCTAGCACTTAGGAGGGTTATACATTTCAAATTAAAAGGCATACAGAAACCACAAGCTGAATAAAACTAATTCATACAACTGTGGGCTATATTTTTTAAAAACACACACACAAATAGTTTCTTATTCTTCTCCTGAGATGCTATCTTGCAACTTGAAAGTCAAATCTGCTATATATTGCATTTAAATCCCCAGCTGACATACCAATGTCATACCAGTGGATTAAAGTCATAAAACCACAATCTCATAAGATATTGAGTATCACCCAATGAGTTCCTTATGACTTATTTAAGGAGGATACTGGCAAGCTGGAAAGTGTGCAGAGGAGGACAGCCAATTATTATTATTATTATTATTATTATTATTATTATTATTATTATTATTATTTTATTATTATTAAAATTTGCATGCCGCCCTATACCCGCAGTTCTCAGGGCAGTTCACAACATAAAAGCACAATATAAAAAACAGAAAATACATAATAAAGACAAAGACAACCCAATAATTCCCCCTTCTACAACACATTTTAAAAGGGCATCAGATGTCAATCATCCAAAAGCCTGGTTAAAGAGGAACGTTTTCGCCTGGTGCATAAAGGTAATGAAAGGCCAGCCAAACCTCCCTGGGGAGAGCATTCCACAAATAGGGAGCCACTGCAGAAAGGCACATGAAGAAGGGCCTCATATGGAGAGAGGCGAACCCTTGAAGATGATCAAGGGTCTGGAAACCAAGCCTTATGAGGAATGGTTGAGGGAGCTGGGTGTGTTTACCCTGGAAAAAAGGAGACTGAAAGGAGATATAATAGCCATCTTCAAATATCTAAAGGGCTGTCACATGGTAGATGGAGCAAGCTTGTTTTTTCCTTCTCTGGAGGGAAGGACTCAAACCAATAACTTCAAGTTAAAAGAAAGGAGAATCCGACTAAACATCAGGATGAACTTTCTGACAATAAGAGCTGTTCAACAGTGCAACAGATTCCCTTGGGAGGTGGTGGACTCGCCTTCATTGATGTTTTTAGGCAGAAGTTGAATGGCAACCCGCCATGGATGCTTTAGTTGAGATTCCTGCATTGCAGGGGCTTGGGCCTTTGGGGTCCCTTCCAATGCTACAATTCTATAATTCTACGATTTCCGGATCGATTTCAAAAAATCCCACTGGAAATACAGCTATATCCATGTGGTGATGGCAGGATTGAGTTAGTGGCTCATGTGATTCTGGCCTACACTCTGTATAAAGATATGAGGAGTGAGGTATTACCCCTCTACTGCTGTCCATGCCAGGTTGCTCAGCCATTGCTACTGTGTCCATTCTTCTAGCAGATCAAGATAATCAGGTGACAGCAAAAACAGCAAATTTTTTAGCAGGGGCATATAGAATAGGATCTATTATTTTATTATTGATATAAACCTCCAAAATGTATTTTGTATAATTAAGCTTTCACCTCTATCTTCAGTACATTTTATCTTATTTTATTGCTATGGCTAGTGGCTGATGCAAATAAATTCTTCTGATCTGACCTATGATTTTTATGATCTGACCTATGATCTACCTGACTATACATAATAATTATGTATCGTGTGTGTGTGTGTGTGTGTGTGTGTGTGTGTGTGTGTATAAAGGTAAAGGTAGAGGACCCCTGACAGTTACGTCCAGTGATAAATGACTCTGGGGTTGCAGTGCTCATCTCGCTTTACTGGCTGAGGGAGCCGGCTTTTGTCCACAGACAGTTTTTCCAGGTCATGTGGCCAGCATGATGAAACCAGAGCAGCGCACGGAAACACCGTTTACCCTCCCGCCAGAGCGGTACCTATTTATCTACTTGCACTCTGACGTGCTTTTGAACTGCTAGGTTGGCAGTTCAAAAACACCAGTGATACACCAGTGATAATATGAATATTTTATATTGTTACTTTGCTATTTCAGTGCATAAAGGAAGGTTTCCACTGAAACATACTGGGCAATTTACTATTTTACTAAAATTCCCAGGATTTTTAAGCACCATTTTGAAACTTGCCTCTTTTATGCTCTCCTCCAACTGAAAAATCAGTCTTTGCTCCTGTCAAGATCACTTTAGTATTTCATTTGCCTTCACTGATACAGCCTATAGTACTAATCAGTTCTACTGCCTGGATAAGATAGAGGCAATCAAAGGTGGCAGAGGAATTGAACATCATAGTGCATCACAGAATGTAAAGTGATATCAAAGAAGTAAGTGAAGGTGGTAGTTCACACAACACATGCAGGACAAAGTGAAAGATACTCAAAAAACAGAATCATGAGGAAGTTTATGTGTCTTTATGTGATAGGAGATCTGACTGAAGAATACTGTGTGAAATGAAACTACTCACACTGCTTCAACAACAACAACAAAACCCTACTGCATCAAATTTATGGATGGAACTGGAAGGCTGTTATGCACTTCAGCACTGCCCAACTTAATCATTCATTCATACAATCAAATGATTGTAAATGATTGCAAATGTAAGCTGCCTAGAGTCCCTTTCAGAGAAAGAAGTTGTGGAATAATGATAATAAATCACACAACAGACAAAGAAGACCTAGGACCTAAAATGTTTTTTATCCACCAACCCTGAGCTAAAAATTTGGAATAATTTTTATCAGAAACTTTCAGCAACTATTTCACCACTGACCTCCATATAAACAAATGCACCTACAGAGAATCAATTGCTTACCACTTGAAACTCATAAACCTGGGCTCAGCAAAATATGTTATAACTTGGTAAATGATTCAGAAATGGATCCGTAATTTCATATTAAAGGTAAAGGTAAAGGTACCCCTGCCCGTACGGGCCAGTCTTGCCAGACTCTAGGGTTGTGCGCTCATCTCACTCAATAGGCCAGGAGCCAGCGCTGTCCGCAGAAGATTCCGGGTCACGTGGCCAGCGTGACAAGCTGCATCTGGCGAGCCAGCGCAGCACACAGAACACCGTTTACCTTCCTGCTGGTAAGCGGTCCCTATTTATCTACTTGCACCCGGAGGTGCATTTGAACTGCTAGGTTGGCAGGCGCTGGGACCGAACGACGGGAGCGCACCCCGTCGCGGGGATTCGAACCGCCGACCATGCAGTCGGCAAGTCCTAGGCGCTGAGGTTTTACCCACAGCGCCACCCGCGTCCCTAATTTCATATTAGCAGGCAGTAAAAGCATTTAGTCAAGCAAGATCTCAAATGTTCAGGTTTTTTGAACTTACACACATAGCGTGTAACAACTAAACATGGACAGTTATGCCAATGTTCAGTCTTTGAAAATGTTTTTCTTGGTACAAGCTCAAAAAAACTAATTAGAAAAAATTATCTATTACCCTCTGACATTGCATACAGTCAGTTACAACCTATATATAAAAGAAGATGAGCGAAGGATCTGGCAAACTGCAACCTTACTACATCATAGGCAGAATGGTCTTGGTTGTTCAAATGTATTCTGAGAACATTAATAAGAATGAGACTGAAAGAAAATTTATTCAAATCCATATATCAATGGTACCTCACCCCTCACAAATCAAACATGATATATTGACTGAATTAATTTTGTTGGGAGTTGAAGGAAATCAAAAGTGGACAACAGCCACATATTCTAGGTGTGATCTATGGTGTGTAAATTGTTAAAGGGTACTGCAACCATTGCTGCTCCTATGACTCAGTAGGTAGAATTTACGTTGTGTGTGTTTCAGCCCTTTACTAGTTCAGTTCTCTGTAACTTGGGCTCAGAGTTAGTCCTGTTTATAACCTGTTTAATAAAGCAACATTGTGTTGTTGCATGGTGCAGCTGTGTGAGTAGATACACAAGGAACCACCAAAGGTTATTACTTTGGAGATGCATACAAAGTGACTTTTTGGAACAGGATCCTTGACATAAGTCAAGGCATTTTGGGATACTGCGTATCAAGAAATCTCAAATCTGCATTTCTTTGTTTACTGAAAACAGAGCTAAGAGAGAAAGACTTGCATGTTGCTCCTAGCCTACTAACAGGTGCTAAAATATGTAACACAACTCTGGAAAGAAAAGTGGATCCTAACATTAAAGGAGTGAATACAGAAGGTCATGGAAATTGCTTTGATCACAAAACCTACTTACCAAAGAGGATAACCAAGAAGTAGAAAATTTTAAAGAAAAACGGGCATCTTTTGTCAATTATTAGAATTTTAAAAATCTATGATAATATAACTATTTCCCACTAATATAATCATTTTTCCCTATCTACTATTATCTGTAGTACTAATCGTTGCATTTATCATTCAAGTTCTCCATATAAAAGATTAAAATAAGCACAAAAGGCTATGATTTAACTATTAACACAAACTTAAATTGCTTATGTGGAATTCAGAAGCAGTTTCTGAGCATTAAAAAAGAAAGAATAGTTCTTCATTCCCCCCTTTCTTCATTTAGTACCTTGAGTTCTGCGTTCTGCTTCTTTAGGCCTTCTACAGTGTAAGAAATCTCCTTCCATGATTCAAGCCTGGCTTTTGCACATTCCAGAACCTGCTCAGCTTCCTGCTTGGCTTCCAACCACTGTGTTGAATCTTTCAACATTTCATGTAATTGCTGTCTTCGGTTCTGAAGGTGCCCCTGGACTTCATCCCACTGGTTCTGTATCTTTTCAACTGGTGACATACAAGGGAAAACCAATGAAATAATTATTTGGAAAAAAATTATCTGACCACTCTGATCAAGTTCTCCACTAATTTGCATGACAAATACAATACAGTCAGTCAGGAAAGGTTCATTAGAGAAGAGTTAAAGGAGATTTTTATATAATTCAGGCATCACTGATTTATTACAAAGTAACCCAAAAGTATCACACATAAAATATCTATTCATCACATTATTTTTACACAAAATTGATACTTCCTTTTAATATGGAAACTGAGAATAGCTTTTGAAATAGAAAAGACAATCCTTTTCAACTAAGTGTGGAAACAATATACTTAACATTAGTTATTGCACTAGAAAATAGAGTTAATCCTTACACCTGATCAAAATTGGTTCTCTATCTATTCATCTTCCAGCCTTAACTATTTTGTAAGCAAAGAAAGTGAATGCTTTGTAATGTTTCTGTGAAGTATGTATGAAGCAAGCATATTTTGGAAAAAGTTCAGAATCTGTTCCAAACATACATGTGTCAATACACATTCAGGGAATGGATGCAATCTAGGATACCACCTGATCAACAATAGGGACATGGTAATTGCACAGGTTATCATTCCCTATATTACAGGTGTTCAGGTCATTGCTTATGAAGCAAAAATGGCAGCATATGTACAGGATAAAGTCTGCAAAATCTTTTATAGCTTATTAGCAGTCATTTTAAGTGTTTCTTTGAAGATGGATGTTTAAGTATTCCTAACGCCTTATTCACAAAGCTGAGTTTTGTGTGAAGGGATTTATCAGTTTATGAAACATTTCCCTTGCTTGCCTGACCTCCACTATTAGAGGGCAAGCAGTTTGTAAAAAAAGAACATTGCTTTAAACATTTTCTATGGATGTGAGCTCAATAGCAGGAAAATGGTAGAGAAGAATTTTTGCAGCCCGACTTAGAGCCCTGGCTAGGGTTATGGCTTAGCCTCATAAAACCTCAAACATTACAATGAACATATGGTATTCAGTGGAGGGAAAAATGAGTTCTTTCCCTAGCCAGTGACCCTTATTTGAGAGCATGAAGAGCTCTTTCCTACAGACGTTATACAGAACTCTGAAAAAGTCAAGAATAAAAAGGTGCCAACTGTACAAATCCATTGCTCCAGAAAGGATTCTTTCTAGCTTTAGAAAAGGAAACAGGAAATTAATAGTGTCTTTTCCAGATAAAGCATTCCTCATGAGAACTGAAGGTAATACAGTCCAATGGGATAGATGAGATGAGTAATGATTTGAGCCACTGAGTTGTGGCATTATAGCCAGTGTGGTTTACAGTTAGGGTGGTGAAGTAAGAACAGGGAGATCCATGTTGAAATCTGCATTTAGCCATGAAACTCACTGTGTTACCTTGGGCTACTTTCTCAGCCTAACTTTACAGGTTGTAAGGATAAAATGAGTCAGGGTGATGATACTTGCAAGTTTCTATGACCTCCTTGAAGGAAGGGCAGGATGAAAATATTAAACAAACAAACAAAGCAGCTGCGATCATTTTCATTTACAAGCAACAATATGATCTGCTGCCTATCATTGGCAGCAACACAAAAGAGCTTGTGAGAACATCTGGGCACCCTATAATGACCCATATGTATAAATCATATGTGATGCTAAAGTCACTGGGTGTAGACTTCCATTCTAATGCAACCCGGAGGTGTTTTTCTGCTCCCCACCTCTTCCTCCCTACGTTCCTCCAAGCTGATTCCATTCTTGTTTGTATGAAAGCTAAAGAAAGTTAATAAAATAATTAAAGACATAGTGATAGGATCTGCTCAGTAATAGCATTACATCTATATACTTTTATAAAGTTGAAGATTTTAAGGCCAAATTTGCTGTAATGCCACAGGTCCAAAGACTGGAACTGCTCCAGCTACCAGCACATTCAGATTCACTTTAGTCGAGGAGGTTTGCCAATTTCAAAGTTGCTATTCAATTTATTTTGCATCCTCCTGAGGTGCCTCATCAGTTTAGTCAGGAAGTACTGACACTGGAGCAAATTACATTTAAAAGCCAAACATTGGATAACTGTGTTGCAACATGTTTACCATTGATTCTGCAGTCAGAAAAGGACAAGATCAGCAAGTAAAGGCACTAACTTGAGACCTATTTTTATCACGTTTCTGTTTTGCCATAGTTCATTTATGGATAAGCTAAATACAATTCTCTTCACAGGTAAAATGAAAAGACTGATGCCAACTATCTGCACTATTCTTTTTCGAGCAAAATGGATTTATGAGCAAAATCAATAAACACATTTAATAGGTTAGATCTAAAGGGTAAATGAATATTATTTGAAAGTGGAGCTATAGCTAGTGGTGCTTGTGTCAAGGCAGATATTATTACTTAAAAATATCCTAACACCTTAATTAATACTATCAATTATGCCACTCTGATCTAGCCACAATTTTTGGGCTAGCTTCCTTCTCCAATATTCACCTGAGTTCCACAAGGAAAGAACCCAAGCAAAATATCAAATTGTCGTGATTACTATTTTTCTTGTTAATTTGTTAATTTATGAGCTGTGATGTGATCAATCACCTCAAGGCAATGTACAATAAAAAAGGCAAAACAAACAAACACACACACACACACACACACACACACACACACACACACACACAATGTCTTTGCTGTTTTCTAGAAAAAGCAGATAGTGGGTGACTGTCATATCTCAACAGGAGCAGCCACTCTAAAAGTCTTTCTCAGAGTTACTGCAAAACAGGCTTCTGAGATCTTTCGAACTTGCAGGAGAAACTCTTTCACAGACCACAGAAATCTGCTGAGCATAAAAGGTATGAGGCAGTCTTCTCTGGTCCTGAGCTATAGAGGGCCTTATATGTACCAACACATTGAACTTGGCCCAGTAGCATATTGGCAGCCAGTGCAAATCCTGCAAGCAGGGTATTAAATGCTGGCTGTAATTTGTCCCCACAAGCTACCTAGTTTCTGCAACCTGCATTCTTCAAACTTGAAGCTTGTGGACCAACCCCAAGGGTAGCCCCAAGGAGAGTGTTACCAATGAAACATTCAAACTATCCCAATCCAGGAACAACAGTGGCTGTCTGACCAATCATAGTTGGTAATAACCACTAACAACTACCAGCCTCTGTTTGAAAAACAGTCCAGCCAATTGACTCTTGGAAAACTGTCAGCCCAAGCTCTTAGCATAGTTTAGGGTAAAAGTTAACAAGTTATCCTTTGCACAAACCTTCTGCAAGTTTTATTAGCTGTTTGTGATGGTGGGGGGTGGTTGTTTATTTATTTATCTATCCCAGCAAGCTCTCCTTGTTACAGCCTTATAACACTGATTTTTTAGACACAAAGAATCAAAATGGAGGGAGGGAGAACACTACCGTATAAAACAAGCAGAAAAGGAGGTGTTTTATTCTTTTCAAGTTCCATTCTGTAATACAAAATGTAATTTATTACTTATAGTTGTAAGGATATTAAACTGTTGCTTTCCTTTCTATGTTGCTAGTTTAAAAATGGTTTAATATGGGATTTTAAATTTGGTTTTAATACCAAGCTGGAAGTGCACTATATAAATATTATTAGAGTTGGCATTATTTAAATATATGCACATTTATCAAGAGCTATAACATTTCAGATTATAAAAGAAAAATGTAAAAAACAGTTTGTGGTGCATAACCTGCATATCATTCTGCCATCATTTGGGCCAGAAGTACATTAACTCTGTTTCAAATTTATCAGCATTAATCCTTTTAATGTGATTTTTGCCCTCAATATTTCTTCCATTTACCCCAACTTTTCAATTTTCAACTCCTTTGCAAGTATATGAAGTATGTTCCCCATTCTAAAGTGGAAACATTTTCTCATTCTTAGCACCCTGAAAATCTTATGTTTTTTTTTAATGCCATTCATAAAAAAGCCATTTTTTAATGTTTTGTTTTAAAGGAGACTGTAACTAGCTCTGATTTTTTTTTTAAAAAAACATAATCAAGTGAAATATAAATCTAATAAAATAAATGAATAAATGTCATCCTTGAGCGCAGGATGCTGCATAAGGCTTAAGACACTTGTTTCAAAAAGAAACTCTGATTTCTTTATATCCAATTAAGCTGAATTATAAGTATTGTTTAAGCACAAAATAAAGTTCAGTCCTTGTGGGTCTAAGCTGGTTTAGAATTTGTGGGATTTTTCTGCTCCAGTGAGAGCGCAGGTCCTCATTTGGTGTTAAGAAACAGTTTGTTAAGAAGAATGATGTGCCAACTATGCTTTTTAAAAACCTTTCTCAGAATTTTTTTAATTCTGTCACTAAATAATAATACTTTTTTTTTTTTTTTTTGCTTTTTCTCACACTGGGCCACCTGGTAGGTTTTCTCTACTCATCGGTGATTCTAAAGTAGCTGTAGGGAGTCTTACCAACATATTTAGGTTTTAGAATAATCTAGGACATCAGGTAAAGAACTGTAGCTGAATTAAATAGCAAAGATCAGCAAAGTATTGAAAGATCTAATCTCCCCCTTCTCAAAATATTTTGAAGAATGTTAAGGAAACAACTCATTAATTTTTGCCCATTCTTCATACTGCGGTTATTAACTAAAGGTGATGATGTATGTAATTATTTATTCTTAGTCCAGTGTTCCGCTCATACTTGTGCTTGAACTTTGACTGAATTCTTAAACAAGCTGTCTGAGGGAACAGAGTTTCTAATTAGGAATTTAGCTGCTGTTCATGGATGAAGGAACTTTTAATAATCATTCCAACAAAACATATTTAAAGGGAATCTTTCTCCAGTAGTGCATTTAGAAATGGGACATGGAAATAATAAAATGGTGTTCCATTTTCTCTGAACATAAACAGAACATTATTAGCATTATTAAAATAAAGCAACTCTACTAAGGCACTTAAAACACTTTTGTACTTACTGATGCAAAAATATTATGGTCAGCTTTGCAGTTTAAAGCTAGAAATGTGTGAAATACATTACCTACCTAATGAAGCATAAAGCCAA